AATGTGTCATTGCGACATATTCTTATCAAGGTTGTCAAAGTAGAATTCGAGCATCCCTATGTAAAGAAACTCAATTATTTCAAGTTAGGAGAGTAGATGAAGTACACACATGGCCTCAGATAAATTGTGCTAGGAATCGGTTGGTCACATCTACATGGGTTACCAATGAGATTCAGGAGATGGTCAAGAGATATCGATATATTTCACCAAATGAAATAAATAGCGGTCTAAAGAAATATTTCGGTTTATCATTACCTTACATGAAGCTTTAGAGGACAAGAGAGTAAGCTCGTGATGCCATATATTTGGCTCAATTGATTAAAACTAAAAATGGGTTCCAACATTGACAACGGAACTACTTGATAAAAACACAGGATCACATATCACATATACATTTAGTAGTATTGACAATTCTTTCTAGAGGTTTTATGTCAATTTCAATGAGTGTGATGATGGATTTTTTGTTGGGTACATACCACTTGTAAGTTTGGATGCATGCCATTTTAAATCTAAGTATTTAGTTGTGTTTTTTATCGACCAACTCACTTGATGGAAATAATGGCTTATTCATATTAGCATATGCTATTGTTTGTTGACCTTGAATTCATCAAACCCGGGGTCAAAGGGTTTGACTTAGTCGTCAAAATTTACCAAATCAGGCCCCAAGACCCCTCCCGTTCAATTTAGTAGGTCAAGCCAAGTCTGTTGAGCCCACCTCTAGGCACTGGGTTAACCTAGTTGACCTAATTGATGCGAATCCCTTCTCATTCAAATTCAAACCTCCTCGACTCAATCTCATACCTTCCTTGGGTTCCAGGGGTCAGACTTGACCCATTGGGCCTAGACCCATGCCCTGGGTCAACCTGGTTGACCAGGTCAACCTAGGTTGACCCAATTAAGCCCAAATGAGTCTGATGCAATTTCAAACCCATTCCAAGTCATCTTAGGCTCAACCTCTTACTCCTTTGACCTAATTGACCAAGTTGACTAAGTCAAGCTTTGACTTGGTCAACCCAAGTCTTATTGGGTCAAATTTGACGCATTTAATTTAAATTAAACCTATTTGTTGCATTTAAATAATTCCAAATGTTCCCTTGGTTGAAATCACAGTCAAATCACCTCCCCTCTCTCCTAATTAGCCCTAAATTTAATCTAGACTGTCCATCTAGAGCCTAAGGCTTTAAATAGGGATTTTAGGATTCATAGAATGGATATTTTGGCTCTTTCCCTCTATCCAAGCCTCCCAAACCTATGAGATTTGGTGTGAAAGTTCTCTTAAACTCCCTTCATTTCCCCTAAGCCAAACCCCACCGGTCAAGGCCGCCGGCGATAGTATTATGGCCACCCTTAGCCTAGATTTGTCCAAGGCCTTCATCAGTTTGATCTAGAGCTCGTTTAGTTTCTATTTTAACTGGAGAAACGTATGAGGATAATCTACAAGCTCAACTGAATCGAGAGCCCAGAAATCCCACGGTGATATTCTCCAAAAAAACTTGGGATTTATGTCACTACACTTAGAGCTATATAACTTTTTAACGGGAAGCTTTCATATCTCCTAAATGCTCTCCCATAATTTATGTTTATGTGCTTGATATGTGTTTAAAATTTCACTAAATTTGATCAAGCATTTGAGGATAACGAGGTGATTTTTATTTCTAGGGTTTGCTCCGTAAGCCGCATGAATGGTTCGTAATCTGGATCATTGATTTCAAGATCAACCGTTCAAACTACGTCGTCCCACGACTTGAGAAAATCAGGAATCATATCCTCCAATCTCGTTATCGATCTAGCTTGATCAGGGCCATTCATTCAAAATAGCGTAAGATCCGACAATACCAACGCATGTTGACTTGATTAAGAGAACAGTATGTTTGTCCCGCCATTTTAGTAATCATATGGCAATGATTGATAGCGGCGTCAATCATTGCCAATGAATTGGAGCCACCACCGTAGCTTGAGCGGGCTAATCAAACAGCGCCGAGTGTCACCTCGTCGTATTTTGCTTTATGTTATTATTTTAAATAGTTTTTAAATCTATTTTAATTATTTAAAGATCAATAATTCATTAAAAATTCAATTTTAATCCAAAAAATAATGTAATATATCATTTTCTTCAAAAAATTAAACTCTTTGATTTAAATCTAATTTTAATTTAAAATATTATATGTATTTTAAGCTATAATAATTATTAAATACTATATATTTTAAATTAATAATTAGTTTTTAAAAATTGAAAAAAAAATATTTTATAAAAAAA